TCAGCATAAAAAAAAGAAACAAAAACAAACAAAAACAAACAAGTAAACAAAAAAAAAAAGAAGAAAAAAATCTAATGACAAAAAAACTTATTATGTCTGTATATTTAAAACAAAATTGTCATTCGTATTTATCATTTAAGTTTCTGATTTTCTGACGTCTGAGCTAATGTTTGATATGAAACATCTCAGCATTTTGCTTAAGATAAAATGAAACAAGATTAAGATAACTCAACGCGAAATTTTATATCTTACAGTCTTTATATAAGATGAAATGCATATTGATATTTTCGAACAAAGCCAGCAGAATAATATAAATATTTAATTAAATTCTTATTAAACTAATACTGTCTACTGAAACTAAAAAAAAAATTTAAAAAAAACTGGGGATTTGCCCTTTTTGGGGAAAAAAAAAGAATACCTTAGGGGCCCTCGTGGGTTTAAACCTTTTCCCAATCCAGGGCCCTGACAATCGAAAAACCGATAGGGGATACACAATACCCACAGTGCGTTTACACAGGGCGATATTACGATACGACCCCCACAATGCGACACACGGTACATAAACGAAAAATGCAAAATAGTGCCGTGACAAAAGCGTTTAAACGATGGGGACAGTGCATAACCCCAAGACACAGTGCAATTAAAGCGAAAGGCGGGCAATACAGAAATGCATAATATTAAACCCTTGGGGCCATCGGGACTATCGTACTTCGCCATCGCCCCTATCCCCTTGTTCCCTTTATCGCCCCTTTTGCATTATCGCTTGTCGCATCGCGTTATCCCCCTTCCCATCGCACTATCGTATTGTCGGCATCACGTTATCGCATTGTCGACTATCGCTTTCCGGTGGACTATTATAAACTGCTGACGAGTAAGCTGACGGTATAGAATATAGGATAATTACTATTAAATTTGAATTTCATTGTTGCATTAATTTTATGCTAGTACTTACATTTAAAGTGTAAAATATGCCTTGTTTTATTGTTGTTGTTTTTAGATATCCATTGTTGGTGTATTGTGGCTAGACCTGTATATTATGTCTGTAATATCGTTTTTCAGATATCTGCTTGTATATATCTTCTGTATCAGCTTGTATGGGAAGTTTGTATGGCCTACCGAGAATTCTTCAAATCATAGATAATGAAAATGTTATACCAATTATTTAAGTACTTGGACATGGCGTGGCGTCAGTAGTTTAGAAACTTTGTTACATTTGAATTGTCCTTAATTTATTCTCAATGAGTACAAGATTCTGTGAACACAAGAATGATAACCATTATCAGCTTTTGTGATTAATCAGTTAAAGGCGCATGAAAAGTACCTCATTTTTATTTCTCAAAACTTTAATTTTGGTATACTTTTATAGTATCCAAAATGTTTCTCGTTGGACAATTAAACTAACTTAGCTTTGTTCATTCTTTTTTTTTTTGCTTTTTCATTATAATTTATAATAAGTATAGTATGCGAAAGTTCAAAATTACATTTTGTTTCATTTCCAATTTTGTTAAACAAATTATTTCACATTAATTTCTCCTTTCTTAAGGTTGGAAGCTTAATGTGCCTTTAATGAGCATGTATTATCAAGTTTCAGTTGTTTGCATATCTTTATTATATCTATCTAAAACAAGGGCGATTATTCGTTATTCTATAAAATGGGTTTATTATCCAAAGTTAAAGCTGCACTTGATATATGTCATAAAAACAGAAATAGCGACATTTCATTAATAAATTGGGTGCCATATCGACTCCGGGTTTTTTTTTTTGGTGTCCAGACTACCAAAATGAGTTTTATAAGCATAAATCTGCAACCACATTGTGGGGGGAATTAGAATTGCATGACAAACTACGCTTTCGGATCATCGTACATCAATGTTAAATCATCAAACATGGCTATAAAAAGCAGTCCTAATATAAATGAATATTTCCGTATGGTTACAAATGTTTTCATACAAATCTAATTTTTGTATGAGATGATAACCTTTTTTTCTGAACACAAGGTCTAATGCACCGTGAAGCTTAAACGTTCAAAGGGTGTTTGCACAAGAAAATATCATATTTGCTGTGTTCCGGATAGCAACTATAACACTGTGACGTAGCACATAAATAAGCAAATTATAGTCTTTATTTCCTGTTAAAATTCATATTCAAACTCAAGTGTTACCTTTGGGTTTCCCGCTTTAAATCATAATTTATGAACAATATTTGATGAGATTCACAACAACACTGTTAAAAAGGTTAATGAAACTGTAGAATGCTTGGTTTTCAGGCCGACAAAACAATTTTTTTACATATTTATTTAATGCAGCTTTAAATAACCACTTAATCAATTGGAATGTTCTCGCAATTATTCATAATAACCAGAGTAATTACGGATTGAAGGTATTTATACCACGTGGTTTCAGATGTAAACAAGAACAGAGAGTTAAAATCTTACAAAATATAAAATGAATGTATATCCAAGATAAGTAAAGTCTGTTTCGGTACAATTATGATTAGAAATATGTCTGACAACCATTTTTAATTTGAATATGCCCACTAATGTTCAATTATAGATAATCTGACTTAATGTCAACAAAGTTGGCATTTTGTATTTCGGTTTCTACAACCGTAATAATAAGTATATAAATACATGTAATGTACTTCTTACTTTGATATATATGAGTTTACTTATTTAAGGTAGGAATTTACTTGATACATTGGGAATAAAAACTTGTAAACAACTTACAGCATTAAATTACTATTTGTTTACATGGTTTGTTTCTTAGCTCAAAATACTATGTCCGTTCGGTGTATTCTTACTACTCTGTACGTGGGCCGAAAAATTCCGAAAGTAAAAAGTCCCTATATATTCTCTAGAGCTAATTACCCTAGTTTTCTATTGTTTGTTCTGGTCGGAGATGTGAACACTTTAGCTCCTATAGTTACCCACATCATTCATACTCGTATTTGCTCTTCCATGAGTTACGATCATAGGCAAGCACGCGATCTACGATTCGGTGTTCAGGATAAATCACGAAGAAAAGGCACTGACATTAGTGGGTATGGAGCGACAAGTGTGACCGAAAAATCTTATAAAGACTCTTTTTCAGACTATACGTACTTTTTTCAGAAAGGTTGACCCATAGAGGTCAACATCATTTAATTCATCAACAGGGCAAAGAATCTCACGGTCAGATGGCACCATCAGAGCCTGATTTTGATGCCACTCAAAGGTCAAAATCTCTAGATAATGTTTCTGAGGTCAGTGATTCGTCACAAGTGTTGCTTTGTAAGGAAGGAGGTACGTCATTGTTGTTTTTTTAACCATTTATATGTTTTTATTTATGCATAATAATATGATATGAACAGTTTTATAATGTCAAAGTAAAAACAAATGAACTGGCTAATGACAACATTTATTTGGAATATGTACAGAGAACCCATTCAGTAGGTAGTTGTTAAAGTCCCCTGTAAAAAAAGAACAAAAAAGAAAGACCAGGTTTTATTCCTGAAAATAAAAGTATAACAATGTTTGTTTTGATAACTTATATGTTGCCATTAACTTGAACAGACGTAGATATTCAAATATTAAACGCACCATTAAAATGTTAATGTTAAGTATTTAATATTTGCAATAAGTAAAAAAAAATGGTTCAACACAGCCACACATTTGGTTTTACGTAACTGCTCAGTGGTTGTTCTCAGATCGACTATAAATTCTATTCAGCTGCCAAGCAGTTCTACATAGAGCTGTCATTGATTAAGTGAAAAGGATATTTAACGATATATAACAATATATCAATATCGGGTGTCAAATATCAGCGATACACTGTGTTATGTATGCAACATATTACATGTATATAATTTATATCTTGACCAGTTGGTATTCCCAATATTATCATTGTTCTATTTTTAGAAACATAAAACTACATGTATGTACTAGAACTTTCTTAACTGTTGTAGAAAACTCATGCATTATATTTAGATAGAAACTTCTGGAATGTTCTTTATTGTTGAAGTTGCTAGATTATGATTACTTGAGAACATAATAGACCTTTCTGGAATTTTCTTAGTTTAATATATATAAATTGACATTTTCATTACCTTTTACCCTTTTTAAGTCATCAGTGATCTTTTAAGTCATCAGTTACCTTGGAGTATTAATTCAACTTGGAAATTAAGTGATTTATTGGAGCTTGGATTATTTTAAAATAGTTAAAATATTCTTGTGGATTTTATTGTTGGAATTTATTCTAAAGTGTTCTTGGATTTAACTTGGATTTAACTGTGTTATTCAAAAAGGATCATTCCAGGATCAGACTAGACATTTGTAATTTACATTTTTATTTGGACTTCAGGTATTTGTAAACATAATTTGTTAATTTATTTTTCTTTAATAATTTTTCTGTAATAAATTTGTTATTGTTTCAAGTTTGTTGCTGGCTTTTCTTTCTCGTTACGCCTGGCTCGTAACAACTGACATGTCAATAATTACCTATAAAAATTGTTTGTAATTCACTTTACCTGCTTAAATGATTTTTATAAAATCTGTGGTCAGTGTCTTTTATTAATGCCCATTGCATTATTTTTCCCTGACCATTTATTTGTCATCATTTCTATGAAATATTTTCATTATGTAACAACAGCATAGTTTAAGACATGGACAACTGCTTCTGGTTCTTGTTTTAGGTAAACTTTCATAATTTCTAGACATCTAACTTATTAGTCAAAATTGTTGATTGTTTATAGATATGTATCGATTATTGATTGACAGAAAAATGTCAACATTACAACAATATTGTTTCTATCGATGACAGCTCTAGTTCTTCTCAGCTGCCAAATAGTTCAACTTGGCTAGTAAAAGCATATGATAGCGAGCATCTGACGAGCTTTGTTTAATTCAACAAGTTTCATGAATTTAGTATCGGATCTACATGAATATAATATTCTATTTATCACATATGTAAAATAAGAACAATAAATTGTTAAAAAGAGTAATTTTTCTTTAGCTTACATTTAGTAGTTTTATTTGTGTTTAGATCCAAGACAACCACCTAATATGGAAATCACCAAGCAACCCAGGTCGTGGTACTCATTCTTATGTAACAGATGGCTGTCATTATTTGGGGTATGTATATACATGTATGTAATGTTTTGTTGTGATTCTCATTTTTTACACCACAAACAGAGCAGATAATTGTACTTATAAAACAATGAAGTATGGTAAGTATTAGTGTAGTTGACGGTGTCATATACAGACTATATCCTTTAAACACAACAAAAAAACTGGGGGTCTGCAAGAATCATGTGTTCAAGACTTGTGTTGTTTTTTTCCTAAAATATAATTTGGATAATTCCGCACTGGTTCATGACTGGCTACATCACAGTTTTCGCTACACAACCTACAACCTCCTTTGACAGGATAGAAAAGAATTATTGTCCTGTACAATGTTCAAGTCCAGTCGAATTCCATACTGACTATTCTTGACCATAATTCATGCAGACCCTAGATTGACTTTGTCATAGACAATTTTATAAAAGAGACTTAACCGACACTGCAGGACTGAAATTATTTTGCTCTTTTTTGAGATTTATGTACCATTTGATGTTGGTCTGGATAACTTTTATGCAAGATTTCAGAGCGTAGTGAAAGATGACCCAATAATGAAAAATATTTAAATGCTAACTAAAACCAGACTATGAATTGCACAAAAATAGAATTTTCAATTTATCAGTATCTGTTAAATATGTTTCTGTTGTAAGTGCCTGTTTATTTTAGACATTGTTCTTTCTGTCAAAAAAATATCACATTAATCAGGTCCATTTGACCTCAGTAAATATCACATTAATCAGGGCCATTTGGCCTCAGTAAATATCACATTAACAAGGGCCATTTGTTCTCAGTAAATATCACATTAATCAGGGCCATTTGGCCTCAGTAAATATCACATTAACAAGGGCCATTTGCCCTTGGTGAAAAGCACATTAACCAGGTCTGTTGACTTTGATATTCACTTCATTATCATTCAATAATGTTTTTTTTTAATTCACAGATATATGGCTGTTGTTGAAATGTCTTAACATTGGTTTTAGACTTTTATGAAAAAGTTTCATGTTGATAGATGTGTTTTTTTTCTTGTTTCAGACATTGGTGTGTGGGGTGATAATGTTTGGAACACAGTGGATTTATGCTCTAGTAGAAGTCATTGCTGCCATAGGTGTCTACATCTACATAGGCCAGGCTAACCCTGGCTACTTTCCGGGTAAATCTTCATGTTTTCAAGCTAACCCTGGCTAATTTCTAGGTAAATCTTCCTGTTTTCAAGCTAACCCTGGCTATTTTCAAGGTAAATCTTCATGTTTTTAAGCTAACCCAGGCTACTTTCAGGGTAAATCTTCATGTTTTCAAGCTAACCCTGGGTACTTTCAGGGTGAATCTTCATGTTTTTAAGCTAACCCTGGCTACTTTCTGGGTAAATCCTTACCTTTTTAAGCTTACCCTTGCTAGTTTCTGGGTAAATCTTCATGTTTTCAAACTAACCCTGGCTACTTTCAGGTTGATTTTTCATGCTTTTAAGCTAACACTGGCTACTTTCTGGGTAAATCGTCACCTTTTTAAGCTTATCCTGGCTACTTTATGGTAAATCTTCATGTTTTCAAGCTAGCCCTGGGTACTTTCAGGGTGAATCTTCATGTTTTTAAGCTAACCCTGGCTACTTTCTGGGTAAATCCTCACCTTTTTAACCTAACCCCGGCTACTTTCTGTGTAAATGTTCATGTTTTCAAACTAACCCTGGCTACTTTTAGGGTGATTCTTCATGTTTTCAAGCTAACCCTGGCTACTTTCTGGATAAATCCTCAATTTTTGTCCCCCGCCTTTTCGAAGAAAAAAGGGGGATATAGAAAAAGGCTCCGTCCGTCCGTCTGTCTGTCCGTCCGTCTGTCCGTCTGTCCGTCCGTCCGTCACACTTTCGTGTCCGGTCCATAACTTTGTCATTTATGAAAGGAATTCGAAATAACTTGGCACAAATGTTTATTATAATAAGACGATGTGTCATGCGCAACAACCAGACCCCTACCTCCAGGGTCAAGGTCACACTTTCTCATTCAAGGTCAACATTGCCTATTTGAGGGTATATGTCGTGTCCGGTCCATAACTTTCTTATTTATGAAGGGATTTTTTAAATACTTGCTATAATTGTTCACAATAATCAGACGATGTGTCATGCGAAAAAACCAGTCACCTACCTTCAAGGTCAAGGTCTCACTTGGAGGTCAAATATTAACATAGACTGTTACAGGGTATATTCCGTGTCCGGTCCATAACTTTGTCATTTATCAAAGGAATTTGAGATAACTTGGCACAAATGTTTGTTATAATAAGACATGCGCAACAACCAGACCCTTACCTTTGAGTCAAGGTCGTACTTGCTCATTCAAGGTCAACATTGTCTATTTGTGGGTATATGTCGTGTCCGGTCCATAACTTTCTTATCTATGAAGGACTTTTGTAAATACTTGCCATAATTGTTCACAATAATCAAATGATGTGACATGCACAAAAACCGGTCACCTTCCTCCAAAGTCAAGGTCACACTTGGAGGTCAAATACTTACATAGTCTGTTACAGGGTATATTTGTGTCAGGTCTATAACTTTTTCATAGATCAAAGGATTTTGAAAATACTTCGCACAAATAGTCACTATAATAAGAGAATGTGTCATGAACAACACCTGCATCCCTACTTCCAAGGTCAAGGTCACACTTAGAGGTCAAAAATTAACATAGTCTGTTATAGGGTATATTTTGTGTCGAATCTAGAACTTCTTCATAGTTCAAGGGATTTTGGAATAACTTGGCACAAATAGTCACAATAATAAGCCTATATGTCAGGTACAACACCTGCACCCCTACCTCTTAAGGTCAAGGTCACACTTAGAGGTCAAAGGTTAACAAAGTCTGTTATTTGGTATATTTTTTGTCCCGTCCATTACTTCTTCATAGATTAAGGGATTTTGAAAATACTTGGCACAAATAGTCACAATGGTTAGATGATATGTCATGCGTAACATCTGTGTCCCTACCTTCAAGGTCAAGGTCACACTTAGAGGTCAAAGCTTAACATGGTAGATTTTTAAATTCCATGTTTCATTTTATTTTTTTAACAAATTTATTGTTACATTTGCAGATCTAGCATTGATCATAATTTTGGACCGAATGTCCTGAGATCCATACCTTAATCTTTTGAAATAGCACAATTTTATGCTTCATATAAAACTCCCGGGGCGGGGGACGTTGGTAATTCTGTTACAAATTCTTGTTTAAGCTTACCCTGGCTACTTTATGGGTAAATCTTCATGTTTTCAAGCTAACCCTGGCTACTTTCAGTACGAATCTTCATGTTTTCAAGCTAACCTTGGCTACTTTCCTGATAAATCTTTATGTTTTTTAAGCTATCCCTGGCTACCTCCTAGGTAAATCTTCATGTTTTTAAGCATTACATTACATTACAAGTTTTTTAATTACAGGTATAGCTGAATTTAACTTCTATAATTGGATGAAATCAGGGCTACAAAGATGTATAAGGTAAGATATCATTACTTTATAAAATATTTATCACACTGTTTCAATCTACTTTGTGAAATACTGGTAATAATTCTTTCCCAAAAAATGGTAATAATATTCTTATTTGTACTGATGGGCTTTCAGTGTTGATATTCCAGTGTTCCGGAGAAGTAGTATCAGGTTTGGAAATATGGAATAATGATGCTGACTGTTAATGTGACATTATGCTCAATTGACCTTCGCCTGTTCACTCACTATATACTTTAGGATGGCCATATTGTCTCCTTGTTTTTAATTAAAAAAATTATTGTATTCTTATGTGATTTTGTATTTTTGTAGTGGTAAACGGAGCCAAGAAGAAGTAATTGTTGCTCCCACAACTCCAGCAGTTACCACCCTTGCTGCACAGCTTACAGAAGACAATGAAGATTTTGCTGGTAGGGGGCGCTATCACCAATCAGAAGTAGTGCAGGGAGAGAACTTTGATGATTATGATGATGAAAGTGAGAGTTAGCTTTCCTGTCTAAGGATGAACTTTAAATTCTTTGAAATTTAAGATAGGTTAATAATGTTGACACAGAATTCAATGTTCCTTGCCAAAGGTTTTGAATTGTCAAGGGAGATAATTGCCATTGGAAGAAATGTTAGAGTTAGTGTTCATGACTGTCAATGATATGTTCATAATAATGTTGTTAAAAGAGATAAATGTAAACTAACATTAGATAGTAAGCTAGCATTCCTGATTATATTTCACAAGTTTAAGCTTGACTGAACGATGTAGAGTTATCACACTGATTTGATTAGATTTCTGGTTAAAGTTCTTGTGCCGTAGAATATTCATAACTATATTTCAAAGAATTTATTTCAAACTTTATATGTATATGTTTCTTATGATGCCCTTATCATATACAGAGGATATTCAAGTTTTTTCTATAAATACATTATTTATTTTCATCGAGTGGTATGAAAATAAATATTTCATGAGTGGCGGCAGCCACGAATGAAATATGATAATTTTCATGCCACAAGATGAAAATAAATCGTGTATTTATAGAAAAAACTTGAATTTTCTGTTTATTATATACATTTTTCTCTCTTTTTTGTTGATAAAATTTGAAAGACTTTCCATTAAATTTTGTGTACTGGCAGAATTTTAAAAGAAAGATAGTCCGGCGAGACACCAGTGAAAATACGGAAAATATGTTTCACTGCAGTGAAAAATAATTTTTTACAGTGAAAAAACGGAAAATGAAAATATGCATTTTATTTCATCAATATTTCTCAATATTTCATTTATAAGTATATAATAAATGACAATATGACAAGATTGGTTAAGTGAAGCACATATATTAAAGAATAAACTAATGAAAGGAAAGGGCTGAGTCTTCGCAATCTTATTCAAGAGGCATAATAGAGAGGTCACCTTTCACAAGGCCAATAACATTAACGGTTTGACAGAAGTTATAGCCCGTGTTTTGAACTTGAAAAAAAAAGCTACCTGATCAAGATCTTGTTTTTTAATCAAGCAATGACAATAGTGAACACACTGTCACCTAGCTGACATCCAATTAATCATTGATAATATCTAAATAAAATTCTGGCTATGTGGTTAAGTGTAATGCGTTATTATTCTCTTAACTTAAAACTTTGATATTGTGAATCATGTTATTTACTGAAGTTGTTTGTGTTTGAAGCCAAATTTTGTAGTTTTGCAGAGATAGTGCAATATATATAAAGTGTAAATTTGTATGTGTGTACAGTTGATTGTTGTGATGTGGTAAAGTTAATGTATCAAGTTGTGATATGTACTTTAAGTTATTTAAGTTGGTATGTTAGTGACGTTGGTAGAAAGGGAAGATTCTTTTTCCAAATGTTTTAGCTCAACTATTTGTAGAATAGATGAACTATTACAGAACATCCATTGCTTATGCATCTACGTGACTGTTAGTTTAAATTTGAGGCCAAGTTTATATTTCGTTTTTATACTTTTTAAACCACTGATGGTATTCAATTAAAACTTCACACATCTGTAGAAATATTATTGTAGATCACAGAAAAAAAGAACCAATGATTTTAGCATGATATTTGACAGAATTAATATTTCGTTACTAGCTTAAAAGTAAAATACCATACTAGAGTATACAAGATCATATCTTGCGTTGGGAGTTTAGATGTTTTAACTTTTAAATTGTTGTATTATTATTTTGGGACTATAGTCTTGCTTAATAACGACTGAATTATAGTTTCTTTGGAATCTAATTCTGCATTTCCCAGAGACCTTGTTTGACTATCGAATGCTAAAAAATAGAACGCATTTACTATTGCTATTTATTAAACAGGCCTAATCAATTGAGTCTGAATATTGTCAATTTTGATGTATGTCTGACTTTAAATGTTTCCATTTTGACCTGTTTTGGTCAGAAAATATTATTCATCTCCAGCTAATTACTATTGTAGTTTTTGACCATGACAGAAACTGGAAATAATTGGCTGACTTTTAACGTTTCCATTTTAATTTAAAGGGGGCTTATTTTGTTCAGATTAGAAAGTTTTATCGCCTATTGTTAAAGGGACTCTATTGAGGTTTTTGATTGACAGGACTGGAAATATCGATCGTTCATGTAGGTACCTACCACTAGGTTATGTGTAAAATTTGAGATCTTTGCACAGCCCGAATTTTCCAGATAATTGTTTTTATTGCGAAAAAATGAATATAAAGCTATTTACATTTTCCCGGACCGACAAAAGCACTACATATTATTTTTCAACTTAAAGATTATTCAAATTTAACGTTTAAGGAGCTATAGGACCTCAGTGGAGTTCCCTAAAAGGAAGGAAGGAAACTTGTGTGACTTAACTGTTTTTTGGCTTACTTATATGTAATAAATAATCAATCACTTCATATAAACAAACGCCTTATGTGACTGGAAAGTAATAATAAAGGAAAAATTTATTAAATGTAAGCTGATTTTATTTACTTGATCCAACAACACAAACTTGTTCAAAGTATAATGAAATTGATATATACTAAATGACATATGAATAAAAATATGTAGAAATTGAATATGTGAAGCAAAATTCAATATATTTACATGCGATATGTAGAGAATATATAGGAAATAGTTTCTATATGTGTAAAGGATCTTTAAGGCACCATGTAAAATTCATGATTGAAATACTGCATAATTACATATAATAGTACACACATTATTGTTATTATTGTAAATGTACGATAGTGTTGTTATTGTACTTATTTATTTATTTGTGTTATACTGTATTATTTGACATGTTGATAACATTATTTTTGAATAAAATATCATAAAAATATCCATACAATTTGGGGTAGTTTTTTTTTCAAAATCATACTAAAATAATCATTAAGATTTATACTTTTGACTTGAAACAGGAAGAAATAGAAGGTGTCTTATTACTAGTAAATAATTAAATTCTTATGTTGTATTGTCAAAGTCAAAGTTTATAAACATATATCTTGCTTTATCTACACTATGAAGTGAAAACAGAAAATCGTTTTTATTCCGCCATCTAGTGACTGTCAGGAATAATTCTAACTATACATTATGCCAGTAAAAATAAAATGTAGTATATATTATAATAAGAAATCTTAACTTTATTTAATTGTCGATTATATGATCACGGTATCCTATTTATTCATCTTGTTTGAGTTTAACATTATTTCCTTAGTTTAAGGACTTCAATTTTGTTTGACCACCCTGCTGATATCAGAACTTTATTTTTCCTATCAAATGTTAATGTAGGATTATATGCATCTGCCATGTAAGATAGGTTTGTTATGACTTGAAGTATAATTCTACCATCTTCACTTATTTGTAAAAAATTCCCATTCTTACCATTTACATAAACATAACCTTGATCATCTACACAAACTCCACATGAGACATATATGTCTTCAATGTTTAATGTAAACAAATGTTTTCCATTGTTTTCAATGGTAACAATCTCATTTTTACATGGAAGGTATAACTTACTTCCATCATTACTCACAGTAATATTGTTATAAAGAGATGAATATTTTCTAGGTGAATAAATCATCTGCTGCTTTATACCATTTGTACTATAACTATAAACAGAACCATTAATGTCTCTAACATACATCTGATCACCATGACAAGCCAGACCAATACAAGAATGATCTGTATCAATGTATCTAATCAGTATCATACTATGTTTAGTATCAACAAACTGAAGTTTCTTTCCCAACAGTGATACAACAGCTACATTATCCCCGACATAGCAAACATCATTCGGTTTATAAGGAAGATCACATACACACTTTACATTATACATGCTATCAAGTTTCTTCAATTTTTTATTATTGTAATCTGCAAGCAGAATTTCTCCTGAAGGTAGTATACAACTTCCATGAATCCAACAATCCTTACTTTCACCATTGATCTTGATGTTAATTTCACGTTTCTCTTCGACTAACCATACATCTGACGACATTGACCTCGATCTCTTTACACTCAAATCAGTTGTCTCGGTCGGTAACTCACTGAAATAGGACATATATTCATAGATTTTTAAAGCGATATTTTTTTTTCCGGGGAATTGAAAACAAAAATCAAATGTGTAAAGTAAAATAATCAAATATTGAGCAGTGATATTTTTTTTATTTAAAACATGTTTTTCGCAAGAAATGTTTCAATTCAATATTGCAGCTTTATTTAAAGACACTTTTAGATAAAGTGATATAAAGAGCAAACATTTAATGATTTATTGATAAAACTGCTCTAAATAATAAATAAAACTAATGTCTTTATAAGGACAAAAAAAGATAAAAATAAATAAAGACAAATCTTTTTATTTAATCTTTGTCTCCAGTAAATACATAGCCTTAGGCTAGTCAAAATCATTTATTTAAATGTTCCATCGGAACACCCTCAATGTACACAATATAATATTTACTTTCATAAAGTTTCAATTCATAACTGATACACAAATATAATTATATTTGAATATTTGTAAACAACTGAAGTAAGTTGTGTATTAAAGTATTGAAGAAATAACACATTTAATAAACAAAGAGAATGTATATAAACTGGTTTTCCCTTAATATGAGATCATATTTACTTGATGTATGAGGAGTTATAAAAATACGAAGTAACTTCTGCATTTGACGCCAGAAAGCTTTAAATTGCTGGTATTTTTAAGCTTTATATTATTAAATCAGGTAGGAAGAATGAAAATTAATACCTTAAGGTATTATTGCCTAATTAATGCGATAATGCACAATAAGCAAATGAATGCTTCGGAGAAACTAAATGTTTTAAGATAAATATTAATGTTTATTTTGGTTAATCGCATAGAGGATATTGAATGAGTGTTGATTAAATCCTATTTTCTTTTTCTGGCGAGTATTATATTGTGTAATTAATTGAGTTCAATAAATGGCAAGAATTAAATTGTTTTATTCAACGAGTTAATTCTTTAATTTTTATCATTGAATGTACATGAATAAATTTTTAGCTCATCTGTCACAAAGTGACAGGGTGAGCTTTTGTGATCGCTTTTCGTCCGGCGTCCGTCCGTCGTCCGTCCGTCCGTCGTCCGTCCGTAAACTTTTACTTTAAATGACATCTCCTCATAAACCACTAAGCCAATTTCATCCAAACTTCACAGGAATGTTCCTTTGGTGGTCACCTTTAAAAATTGTTCAAAGAATTTAATTCCATGCAGAACTCTGGTTGCCATGGCAACCGAAAGAAAAAACTTTAAATATCTTCTTTTAAAACACCATAAGAGCTAGAGCTTAGATATTTGGCATGAAACATCTTCTAGTGAGTGTCTACCAAGTTTGTTCAAATAAAAGCTCTGGGGTCAAAATTGGCCCCGCCCCAGGGGGGTCATTGATTTTCCCTATATGCATATAGTAAAAACTTAAAAAATCTTCTTTTAAAGAACCCAAAGAGCTAGAGCTAAGATATTTAGCATGAAACATGTTCTAATGGGTGTCTACCAAGTTTGTTCAAATAAAAGCCATGGGGTCAAAATTGGCCCCGCCCCAGGGGGTCATTGATTTTCCCTATATGCATATAGTAAAAACTTAAAAAATCTTCTTTTAAAGAACTCAAAGAGCTATGGCTAAGATATTTAGCATCAAACATGTTCTAATAGGTGTCTACCAAGTTTGTTCAAATAAAAGCCCTGGGGTCAAAATTCGCACCGCCCCGGGGGTCATTGATTTTCCTTATATGTGTATAGCAAAAACTTAAAAATCTTCTTTGAAAAAACCCAAATAGCTAGAGTTAAGATATTAAGCATGAAACATCTTTTAGTGAGTGTCTACAAAGTTTGTTCAAATAAAAGCCCTGGGGTCAAAATTGGCCACGCCCCGGGGGTCATTGATTTTCTTTATATGTGTAAAGCAAAAACAAACAAACAAACAAATCTTTGAAAAAACCCAAATAGCTAGAGTTTAGATATTAAGCATGAAACATCTTCTAGTAAGTGTCTACAAAGTTTGTTCAAATAAAGGCCCTGGGGTCAAAACTGACCCGGCCCCAGGGAGTCATTGTTTTTAACTATATTTGTATAGTAAAAACTTTAAAAAATTCTTCTTTTAAAAAGCCCAATGAGCTAGAGCTTAGATGTTTAGCATGAAACATCTTCTTATGGGTGTCTACTAAGTTTGTGCAAATAAAAGCCCTTGGGTTAAATTGGCCCTGCAACGTTGGGGGGCCTATATACAGGTGAGCGACCTCAGGGCCATCATGGCCCTCTTGTTTTGTCACACTGATAAAAAGAGTCATTTTTTCGTTGAAGCGCCTATGTAACGCTAACGTGTGTGCTGTGTTTATTAATGTAATGCAAGTAACGTCGCACCATAGTGTTATTACATAATTAATTTAAGCTTATACTTCTTTAAATTGTATTGTCAAAAAAAAAAGAAAAATGTACATGATCAACAGAAAATTCAAGTTTTTTGTTTGTTTTGTTTTTTGTTAATATCAATTTATTTTTCATCTTGTGGCTGACATGAAAATATTATTTTTTTTATACCATTCGATGATTTTTTTAAAGCAACATGTTCATGTATGAAATAAATAAGCATACAAGTTACTGACTTCATAATTGCCTTTCATGTATTATGTTAAAAAATGACGAACGACTAGCAATTAGTGACTCACGTATAGCTAGAATTTGTGGCTAAGGTACGGGTCCTTTCGACTAGCCACTTCCTTGACAAATTACGTCGTCGTTAGTGATGTCATGAAATTAAATAAAAAAAATCATTGTCGCACCATCCATTTTATCATAAAAATGGGTAGCACATTGTCTTTCCTACATTGGTACTAACACAAACATTTTTTGCAGGCACACGGAGAAGTTTTAACGAAGTGTACATTTGTAAGAACACTTATGCAACGTTGTTCTTGGCGTCGTAAACCTGCCAAGCCCCGGGTAGTGTTGATTTTGCCAAGGTATTTTTATAAAATGTTTGGCAATTGTGTAGCAGATATTTCATTTTATCAAATACCCGTGCCGCTTTTGGCGACCTTAAAATTGTATTGCATGGCCGTGTATATATTTTTACGTGAAGTCCTTTGCGGTATACAAACATATTATAATACTGCAAGTTTGTAATGTAGTTTTTCATTGCATAATCGTGACGTTTATATAGATTTATATACACGACTGCTGTCATTTTATGAAGAAATCTCACTTTTTTTCTCTAAATAAGAAAGTTTCCTTACTATAAAATTGTTATAAATATTTGACATGTTATATGACCGTATATAAAACGTTTGCCAAGCGGCTCGGGTTATACATACAAACACCCGTTTATATAGGGCCATAAATGTCAAAGATCTTTATAAATAATAGTGTAAATGTTAGCGTTGTCTACTATAGGCGCGTCAACGAAAAATGATCATTTTGCATTTTAACTGTCTTTTCTTTTTTTGGTAAGTTATAAATAGAACACTATATTAGTGTAGTTGATCGGGTTCGTGCAATAAAATAATGTCATGCTCGCCACAGACTTGCATAGTAAACTTTAATTCAACTCATTCAATAAATTTAGTACTCACTTGCACTCATTCGGTATCCTCTATATATGAAAATTGATGATTGCTTTTATTTTATTGGGAGAGCCAAGATATTTTCTGATATGTATTTCATTACATGAATTTTAGATAAAGTGAAATCAAAAAGGTAACAACTATTGACTGTCTTTAACATGATAGTATTTTATACTGGGAAATATATATATTCATTAAAACTGAATGCCTCCAGATGAGCCAAAATATTTCAAGAAAATCGATTTTATATCAATAAAGAGGAAAGTCGAAATAACGCCAAATAGGTATGTTATAGTGTCTTCGCCTTTCCAATTTCGGGGCAAAAACACGAAATGGCAGAAATCAGCAACCATACATATGAGACACCGCTATTTTTAGTAACATTTACGGATTATTCTATCTGGCTAGTGAGAAATATAGGTACAGGTATAATACAGGTACTTTTGTATCAAATAGCTAAACAGGGGCTGACAAAGAATGTTTTCATATTGTACCTTTGTAATCCTCTTTTCAACTGCATCGAATTTTGTATTCCTGAAATGAAATGTTCATGTACATATATTTTGAGGGTAATAAATAAGGGTAATTCTATGTCTTCCTTAATGATAGTAATGGTTTGAATCGACAAGTGAATTTTGTGAATTGAAAGTGATTGATTGAATTTAAGTAGACAAGGATGAATTTAACTTAAATATTAACTTTGTGGATTATAACTGCATTTTAAAGTCATCAATTCATCACTAGTATGCATTTATGTAAAAAAAACCAAATAAATCAATATAACAAAGGAGGACAATATTTTTTTAATAAAGGGTTATATCTAGTATTATCTACGTGTAAAATTGTAGTAATTCATAAAGATACGTGCGTTCTTCACTGAATATTGATGTGAATATTTCCTTAAAGACATACAAACGTATTCCAAGATAAGTTTAAATCTTGCACACATATTATCATTAATACATAGTATTTCTTTTGATAACCTATAAAGGGCCTTAGCTAAAAATGCAGAATCAGAGTTTGATTACATTTGATTAAATAACTCAAAACTACTTATACAGCTAGATGAAAAACTGAAAATCTGTATCTCACAATGACATCTGTGCACTGTTTTATTTTATGTTGATAATGCAATTGATTTAAATGTTACATTTTGAACAAAATGAAGAAATAAAGAGATGAGTAGTAAAACCAAGGACAATGGCGAAGACGTTATGGCGTGAAGATCTGCTTCACTTCTTATTTATTGCATTGCTTCATAATAACTTATATGTACTTATTAGGTTTAACAATAATACCTTTTTACTTTTTAGAGTAAAAGTACCGTCTAAACAAAAATTAAATTAAAAAAGATTGGGGATACTTAAGGTATTATGGAATGAAGCAAAACATTTCCAATGCACTGCACTTGTACCCAGAAAGATCTGGAGTTTTAGTTTTATAACTAAATGAGCTGTAGTGTTATGTTTGAAATTAAAACAATGATGGAATGTAAAACGAACAGATGCAAGTATAAGCAACCAGACTAACTGCGCTAAAGCTATATACAGCTGTTTCTGTTACGCTGCCTTCCGCGAGGAATAATAGTAGCTCATTATTATAATTACTGTTTTGAATATTAATTTTATTAAATATAAATGATAATTAATTTAAGACAAACCTTCCCTTTGTGCTCTACCTAGAAGTGACGCATTTTCTGTAGAAATCGGAAGCCAGATTGGCCCTTGTGACGGTACCACTGGCAATGGCGGTGCGTAGTTATAAGACTGTGTAGTATTTGATATTGTGCCTATAGAATGATTTGTTTTTGACTGTCCAAACACATGGCCATATTCTAGTCCTGTGTTAAAAAGAAAAAGAGAGATGTCATTGTATACTCAAGAGAAGATTGTTTAAGAAAATAATTAATTACTAGAAACCTCGCACTGGTCAAAATGTAATGGGATGCTACACATACAATTCATTTTAGACAAACCGTCTGTTTGTGCTGTACCTTGAAGTGAAGTATTACCTGTTGAAACCGGAATCATCGTGCTATGACTTGACAGCAAGTTTGGCAATTGTGACGGTACCACTGTCAATTGTGGTGTGTAGTTCTTAGACTGTGTGATATTTGATATGGGGCCTATAGAAAGATCTGTAGTGACTAACTGTCCAGACACATGTCCATATTCTAGCCCTGTGTTTAACAGAAAAAGAGAAACATGCATGCAATCTTAAATATTACTACTGTCAGTACAAAAATTCAACACCATTTTGTATCCCACAGAAGATTTGTTTTAAAGAATATTAAATTACTATAAACATATACCCAGAAACTGTCACTTGTCAGAATACAATGGCATGCATCGCAAACAATTTTTATTTCCTGTGGAATCGACACAACCGTCAATAATTTAAATCTGTATATGTTTCAGTCTTAACCTTAAATGACATAACCGATCATTTAGTCACATTAAAACAGTGAAAGTGAAAGTCATGTGATAAAATACTTATTGAAAGCTTCAAAACGAAGTTATGTTAACACTACATGATAGGCTCAACTTACGTTCAGTAACCTCTGATTTAACGACAATTCTTTGTAAAGGTACATCCACCACGTGGTCAAGAATGGCATGCCGTCCAATTTCGTTGATACATTTTTCTAGTTTACCCTTTTCACACGTTAATACCATGTTGAAATTCCCTGCTATAACTGCTCTGTACAGGTGATCAAACATGTTGTACCATTTGTACACATCATTTTCTTCGTAACGATATTTTCCAGCAAACTCGTCAATGATAACTAAGCAGATGTTTGTAAGGTCAATGTAATTGACATCGTTAGGCTTCTTGAGAAGTAAACATTGGGATGATTCATAAGCAGATGCCAACGCAACAGCTACAGAAGTTTTACCACATTTCTTAGGCCCTGTTAATACTACTGCTTTACCTGTCTTGAACTTCTCTTTCGCTGTCTTGAAAACCTTCGCATTCACTTGAAGGCTGAATACCTGATATTCGCTCAAAAAATTCTTCGTCATCACTTAAATTATAAAAAAAATAGCAAGCGTACCATTGTTCCAAAATACACCGTTTAAATGCTTTAGTTTCATCATGGGGAACAGTTTTATGAAATACCTTAATTCAAGAAGAAAAAATGGTCAATACTCAAACTTACATTTTATCCTGAATTTCCGCCTTTGATTTTGACCTAGGCTAAAGGGAACTAAAATTTACGGACAATTTATATAACGCTTTTTCTTTTATTTGGACAAAGGGGTCATAATTGGACCCTTAAGTGTGCATTGGACTATGAGTCCCAAACTTCATGTCCATGTTTAGAAATAAACAGATCCCTTCTTGTATGATAAAGACCTCCAAATTTTTGTTTACTTCAAATCATTCTCTGGGGAACATTGACTTGAATTATTGCTTTGTCATTTTCAAGTAATCACTATTGTGACATTATGTTGATAGGATGTAATCCCCTTAGCTCAGTTTATAAGATTCGTTTTACACAAAATTTTCTTTCTGAAAATTGTGACCCTTGACCTCAGAGAACCCATGCTTCAAATTCGCCAAAATCCATTTTGCAAAGTAATATCAAAAACTGATCTTTCATGATCAGGATCTATATCCTCTTTGTAAACTCTGTACATTTTATCATCTTGGTAACCTTGACTTTGCATATTGTGACCTAGATAATGTTGGTAATACCAAGTCTCATTTTTTTGAACATTTTAAATCAGAGCTCTTAAAAGCTACACTGTAGTGCATACGCACATTTTTATATTTTTTAAAAGACCTTTGACGTCAACTTACGGGACCTACATTTTGCGCGTAATACTAAGCATAATAATGTGAACATTTGCGCAATATTATTTTTAAAACCTTCAAGACGTTTTGCTACATATCACCTCTAAATGTGACACTAACCTTTGACCTAGAGATCTATTTCATGCGCGTGAACTACGTCATATCGTGGTGAATATTTGTATATTATTATACCTAAATCTCACCATGCATGTTAGAAGATAGATTTAATATTTATTTAATATTTAACTGTACACCAATCACGCTCCCATGCAACAACAGCGAACCAATAATAAGACCCGTTCCATACAAAACGGTCTAAGTAAACAACAATGCAACTTACCTTCTAAATTTCTGTATACTGACACCAAGGACTGTTGTACGTATATATTTTGACCTCCACAACCTGCAATCAAAATGGTTCTTGTTTGTGAAAATCAAACAATTGAGAAATTATATGACAATTTTTCACTTAAAATATTGACAGGAATTATTTAAAAGTACATGTATGTTACATTTTATCGAACAGTTACATAACAAATAGTATACCTATTGTAAGATCAGCCGGCTGTGCTGAACTTGTCTTAGTAAACACCTTCACCACTTCTTCTAAGATTTCATGGTCATGATGCAGTTTGCACTCTTCCAAAATCTTAAGGTCTGTTACTATGACAATGTCCAAGGCTTTATCGCCATTATTTCTCTTTGTTGAATGCATCATGCTTTTAAATATATCATCCATGGCTTTAGCTTTGCTTTCATCATAAGAAAATCCTCCAAATGGATCTCTACATAAAACCAAGTCTACATCTGTAGGATCAATGTGTCGCCAATCAGACGACGTGTGCATTTCTACGCTTCGTTTGTAATTATAGTCCATCCCCTTTACTGATGCAAGAGCGGTCTCAAAGTAACGACTATTGTTGCATCCGGTTACAACCACATGATGGCTATTTCTTAGTTTAGCTCGAATGTCTGTCATTTCACTTGGTGGGTTGAAATCGTCTGATAATTCTTTCATCGTTGACTCAAACCCCGCTTAAAATAGAAAACGATTGTTTGCACACAATGCTCTCATGAAAACAAAAAATAAAATTAGAAAATAAAACAACAAAAAACGTATCTTGTTTTTACTTTTATTTGATCAAAGAGATATTGTCATATATATATTCTGATGTGATAGATTATATCAGACCAGATTAGATTAGAATAGATATCAGTTTTTTTGTGTATCAGATTAGAACAGAATACAAATGTTTCCGTTGAACGTTGAAAAGGAATGTAGATATTACTATTCTAAAGTTGTTTTTTTTAATAACGAACATACCTTGAAGCCGTGTCAGTATATCATCAGCAACTTTGATTCTTTTATCTTTGTCCCCTGAAGTTTAATGTATCAATTTCCAATAAACTGTAACATCAATTAAGTTTAAGAACAATTTCGAAAATAAGTAACAATCAAAATAAAGGTATAATGTTTTGAGATTTGTGTAAACAAATTGATTGATATCACTTTGAAATATTTCAATAATTTCATGTCACTTAGCTTATCATATCAAATGTTAGCGTTTATTGCGATAAATAAGAATTAATACAGTTACTGTGACACGATCTAGTGAAAATAAAAATACAAGCAATATTAACCTTAAGTTGCTGTATGATTACTGAAACTCACCTGAAGGTCCTGGTTTCTGGACGGTCACTTGTCTGAGAATGGAAGTTGTTTCTTCGGCATTTGCCTGTACTTCATTCATAACGTTTAACAACAGCTTAGAGGTTTCTGCATGCCAAATACGAAAACAATCACTGAGATTCGGTAGATGATTACATTTTATCTGATTTATTTTCTCTAGTAAGGATGCTTGATCATTTGGATCAAGCGCATTCTTTGCTATAAGCCTAACAGAATCGTCCAATCGTCCCCAATAATCATCGAAGTCATCATCTGAAATGTTGCCAGTATTTGGGTGATGTTGCAACTCATTGCGAATCCCTCGAATTTCAGTTTTCAAAGCAACGATTACAAGTGGCTGCAGACGTGTGACAAAAAGTTCTGATATCAATGTTAAAAGTATTGATACGTCCCACTGGTTTTCATCAGCGGTGCCGTTAACAGGATACAATAAATCATATTGATCTCTCCTGAGCTTTTTGTTATTAAATAATTGCATCACATCCCGCTTTCTGTGAGATAAGTATGCATCAACTGATGTATAAGTGTTCCCAGCATCAGTTTTGGCAAGTTTTACAAAATATTTCCTTAGTACGTCAGCACAAATATCTACCACAAAGCAAACAAGTCTATAATATTTGTCTGCCATCTGTAAAATGAACAAGTAATAAGGAAACCCATTATTATTATTCATATAAATAGCATTATTTGTTTCTTTATTTTTGTAGAAAAAAATGTGTATGGATTTATTTCAGGTCAGTAGCAAAAGTTATAAAAAAGTTGATTAATATCAATTAAAAATGTGCAAAAGAAACTAATTAAAAGTATCAGTATAGATCCACGTTTATAGTTCAAAATAGGTACATTAATAAATTGCACAACCAGGATTATCTCAGGTTAAACCGGTTTTATTTCAGTTCACCCATTACTTCATGAGCACTTTGTGAAAAATGTCTGTTTTCATTGAAAAGTCTCCCGTTACAAGTTCAAATTGCTAAAAACTGCTTCAATACTAATCAACTTGGCACAGATGTTGACTGCCATTGTAACAACATGCTCAGGCTTAAATTTTCTGTTACCATGGCAACGAGGGGACATCTCAAAATTGCCAAAAATCACTATTTTGTGTTGATTTTTTCCATCAAAATTGATTTCAAAGTATTGCAACTCCTCAATGGTTTGAGATAGAGTCAAAAGCTTTTCAGCGGTGGTAAACGTTACCTTATGATCGATCTGGCGTCATTTTAAGCCTCTCACAAGTCCAAAATGTTCTTGGCGATGAACCCCCAGACAGAATGGGACACTTCCCCCTTCTGGCAACCCCCTGATGTATCTTTTGGTAAGGGTGCCGCGCCGAAAAAGGGGTCACTTTTTTTATCAACATTTCTCAAACGAAAACATGAGTTTGGGGCCCAAACAGGACATTTTTTAACTATTTGAGGCCTAAAAGAAGGGGGGGTCGAAAGTGCGTTGTTCCGCGTATATATGTGGAAAAGGGTTAAAATAGGCAAAAATAGATAATTATAAAGTTGATAAATAATTTTGCTGATATAACAGTAATGTCTTAATATTGATCTTATTCTAGGGTATCATTTAATGTCATTGTTCATGAGGAAATAAATTAAGTAATGTGAATAAATTTAATAACTATTTCAGACTAAATTTCTCGACAAAGTACACTTTGACCAATCTCTATACAAGTAAAATGGTTTCCTGCGGGGAACATTTTTAATGATATTAAGATATTTCATTTAACTATTTCAACATTTTTTTTTTTTGGGGGGGGGGGGATAAATAATCGTTTGTATCAGGAATATAGATCAATATAGGAGAAGGTCTTCGGAAACTGGTGACCGTTGATGACCGGAGAAGGTCGAACATAAAACAATTATTTCTTTTTTAAGAAAATGATTAAATAGGCCTACCATTTTATGAATAATTCCGAGCAAAATAAATAAATAAAAAAAATAAAGTAAACACACAAGTTTACGCAGAAAATATCTCTATTTATTATGGCAGATGCCACTACGAATATTTTAATTTTGTAGATTTTCAGTATAAACAATTTATTGTTTGTAAAATTTTGGAGACATAATAAAGAAACATAGATAATTTTCAAACACATCATTCAAGTTTTTCCACCTTAAACGGTAACATAATTATAGAAAATTAGAAATATCACGTAATAGTTTTTTGTTCTTAATTAGGTGTAATTCTGACTAATTCCCTAAAGGATTATCCGTAACGTACCGGCAAACGGTATTTAGCCAGGTTATCGAAAAGGTCAATTAACCAACCATGTATGGTTTGCAGATCACATGCTCCTCCATGTACCGAAAACAGGTCGCGTGCTCCTCCATGCCTCAAAAGTTAAACGCGTTCCAATACCCTGCGGTCTCCAGACCGCAGGGAATAAATTCGTATTTTATTATGCTATAATTAACATTAACCACTTTCAATTTGTATTTCATTATATCTTAACGTTAATCTTTTTCAATATATGTCCGGTTTTATGCATAAGTATTTTATACGTTACAGTGAAATTAAATGAACTATAATCTAGTGAGTTAAACAAGGTTACACAAGGAGTAATTTTAAAATAGATTTTACCTTTCTCATTAAGATTATATCCTAACTGACATCCTTCTACCTTTCGCTTCGTAGTATGAGTAACGGAGCGGAAATGATTTTAACAACTCATAAGCTAGAAAACCATTTTACTATAAATAGAAACCGCTATGGAAATTTTACAGCTAAATATATCACACGATACACTTTTTAAATAAACATGTCTAAAATTAGTCAAATACATTACGTGTAAGATAAAATAGAGAAGACGAGAAGACATTGATTCATATGTAAGGTCCTAGTATACTAAATATAATTTTAGTGATAAATGATATGATATTGATATATAAATTAACAATAAAATTATATTTACATCTGATAAATCATTAGGATGCGCATTTAATCATGAGAAAGAAAATTTTGAAATTCCAAGTAGCTACAAAAAATCAGCTGAACAGTTTAATAATGTGTATATTAACAATAGATAAATCCGTTTGAATATATTATAATGGCTTTTTACAAAAAGGGATAATAATTTTTAGCAAAATTAAGATATTTATACATAAAGTTTTTTTTTTAAATCCAAATTGTCAATAATGATGACCATGTAGAGTTAACAATTTTCAGATATAATCTGAGCCAAAATTTGCAACATATTAAGCATTTTATGAACAAAGACAAAGTAATATACATACATTTTAAAGAAGAAGAAGAAACAGTTTCTATTACATGTAGTAAATCCCACGAGAAATATGATAAAATAGGTTTTACCTTTTTCTAACAATGATTTCGTTGTATCATTATTGCTTTCCTGAAATGTACAACACTTGTCTAATTACTTTGTCAAAGTGTTCAGAAAAGGGTGTAATCGGTAAACTCATTTTCACGAATTTTACAAATAGTTCCGAAAATTCCTGCGGAAGTTTTCCTTAAAATTCACTGTTTTTCTGAGGAGCAAAGCGAAAGTCCAATTTGTTAATAGAAAAAATATTTTACTAACTCCAAGGTGATCCGAATGAGTGATTTAAGCCAGAAACCCATTTTGACTATAAATAGAAACAGATTTTTGAATTTCACAGTTAAAAATATCTTGTATTACAGTACACTTTTCAGTGAAATGATTCATTTTGCGGATGTACCTTTTGATTATATGACAATAAATTTCAATTTCAATCTTTGTTTATTTTATTTTTTCATTTATTTTTTTGTCTACTGGGAATGTTCGTTACCCCTTCCCCATTGGAGCCTCTTTGAAAAAACTACACTGATATATACAAGATGCGAAAAAATCTTAAGTGTTATATGAGTTTTTTTCCTATATGAATCAATGAAAAATCTGCACTGTTATATCAAAGCAGTTTTCAAATGTCCATTGAAATTTACTGAGTATAATGGGTTAGAAAGAACAAAGAAAACATTCGAAACCATGCGACAATTAAAGCTTGTTTAATCAAAGCAAAAGCCGGTTTAATGTTTTTAACTGACCCCCATAGAATAATGACCCCCTTGTCAATATTTTACATAAAATAATGACTCCTGGTCATAATATTATGACCGGGGGTCATAATATTATGACTCCCCTACAGGTAAAAGAATGACCCTCACATAGAATAGTGACCCCCTGTAGAATAACGACCCCCAAACTTAAACTATAAATCCCTTACTGGACACTTTTAAAAGAAACACTGGCAAAATAATAATCCTCAGGTGAAAAATATGGTAATGTTATTTGTCCGTGCAACAATTTAATCGAATCTTTTCACTAATATTGGACGGAATGGTTTCAAACTCTCGGGGATAGCTACTATAACCGAAGTCTAACCTCAGTCTGCAGGAATATATAAATGGATTTGATCTATACATAAAAATTAATAGCATTTTCTACAAATGCCCACGGCTAAGGATATGTCATTCAACTACCACCCTTGTTTGTTCTTATTTTTGATTTACGATTTATATGCTCAAAGGTAATAGAACTTATAGGCTCTCCATTTCATCACTTCGCCTAATTTTTTGGGTATCTTATTGGTCACAGAATATAAAGAAAGGGCAAGAATGGTGACCTGTCCGGGGTCCTTACTCTCAGTACCTGGTAGGGGTTACGTTCTAACAAATCGGTATAATGTGACTATTGTATTGTTCTAAAAAGCCACATACCCCCCCCCCCAAAAAAAAAAAAGAAAGCCATATAAAACTTTACGGAATAAAAAGGATCAAAGAAAATAGACTGTTACCTATTGTTCCCATAGCCACATAAACCAAAAGTTTTTGCTCTGATGGACCCTTATTAAACTTCACACACACACACACACCAACATACACACTCACGCCTGCACGCACACACACACACCAACATACACACGCACACACGCACGCACACACGCATGCCTGCACGCACACACACACACACACACACACGCACGCCTGCTTAATATGTTGCAAAGCCCTGGGGTCAAAATTGGCCCCTGCCCGGTTGTGTCATTAATTTTCCTTATATGCATACAGTAAAAACAAACAAACATAATTCTTTTAAAAACTCAAATAAACAAGTACGGTGAAAACATTATTATTTGTGGGGTACGAATTTTCGTGGTTTTCGTGGATAGGTCAATCCATGAATTTAAGACCCGACGAAATTTTATCACAACAAATACTTCTTACCATGTCTCCGTTCCATATATCACAACTTGCGTCGGCGCTTTTCCGGCCGATATTTGTGGTATGAATGTATAATAATAATAATCAGGTCAGTGACAAATTAAATCCATAAATAGTTTAGTAATCCAGACAAAGATATTATAAATAAAATAAAAAAGCTCATGTTTAACTTCTTGTGGGACAACAAACCAGACAAAATATCAAGAGATAAGATTATTCAAGATTACCAACATGGGGGGGGGGCTTTAAATGTCAGACATTGAAAGCTTTATATATTCCTTAAAATCTTTTTAGGTTTCACGCATTAAATTGCAGCAACACTCAAAATGGGCTAAAGTATATGAAAATATGTTGAATAAATATTGAAAACAATTTATATTTCAATGCAATGTAAACATAAAAGATATTTAAAATTTTGATGTTGCATCTAGATTTTTAAAAGACATACTCAGTGCTAGATCGTATGCTGTTCGCTTACCAACTCTATTACAAGTGGAGAAACTGACAGCGAACAGCATGGATTCTGATCAGACTGCACGGATGCGCAGGCTGGTCTGGATCCATGCTGGTCGCAAACGCACTATGTTGGTTTTGTCCTGACACGGCTCTTTTCTTAAAAGGGAGATAATAACTATTATACAGCAATGCTTTACAAGGGAGGTAATAAGTGCTGTACTGTTATGCACTTTGACGGTAATTGTTGTGATTCCCATTGCCAGTAATGAGCATAAAAAGTTCAAAGGAGGTCGAATTAGCATTGCTGTATATATCAAGGGAGGTAATAAATGCTATGCTACTGTGCATTTCAAGGGAGGTTATAAATACTATGCTACTGTGCATTTCAAGAGAGTAATTAATCAAATTGCGTTATAACCCTGAACAGCCGTTTATATAGGGCTATATAACCTGACAAAAATGTCTGTAACAAATAATATATATGTTATGCCATACAAATGTAACAAGTTGGTATCACTGCTTTGCTCTGTATTTTAGCATGTCTTTGACTAAAGTTGAGGTCAAACATCATTGTAGACTTATAATAAGCATGGTTGTAATGAAAGTAAAATACTATCATATCCTGAAAGCAGAAAAATACCATGATCATAATGCTGCAAATAATTTTTTACTGACACAGGCTGTGACATGCTCTCTGTCAGTTATGGGTTTTGGTGAATCAATCATGGGGCTGACAGGCATTGACAATCCTTGGATCGCCAAAGGCGTTGCTATCGCCCTTGTTATTCTTCTTTTAGGTAAGTTTTTTTTCTTTGAGATTTTAAGTTTGTAAAAAGGATTATTTTGTTGATATGTTATAAGATTATGTGTAAAGGTATGTTGAGATTAGGTATATGTGATTATGTATGTAGATAATTATGTTAAGGGATTTTTTTTGGAAGGGGGGGGGGGGGGGGGGTTGGGTCTTTGTCGCACCAAGTAAACACACAGTAAAAAGGCCATATGGCAACTTTCCAGCTTTACTGAGGAATACCATGCATTATTTCAGTAACAATGGGCACTTTATCTAAGGGCCAGCAACATTCCATAAGCTATCTGGATAGCTGCCTCACATGAAAGAATCCAAGGTCCCTGTCGGGATTCAAACCAACAGGCATGAAGGGTAAGTGGTTTGAAGTCAATGACCTTAACCTCTTTCGCACAAATGCCCCTATGATATGGGATTATGTGTGTAGGTTTTTATTATATGAGTAGGTATGTTATATATGTGTAGGTTAATTATGATATGTGTGTAGGCATGTTATGATATGTATAGTTTTGTTATGATATATATTTAAGTATGTTATGATATGTGTAGGTATGTTATGTTATGTGTGTAGGCATGTTATGATAATGTGTAGGTATGTATGAAATGTGTAAGCATGTTAGGATATGTAAAAACATGTTATGATATGTGTGTAGGTATGTTCTGATATATATGTGTAGGTATGTTATGATGTGTGTGTAAGCATGTCATGATATATGTGTAGGTATGTTATGATATATGTTTAAGTATGTTATGATATATGTGTAGGTATGTTATGATATGTGTAGGTATGTTATGATATGTGTAGGTATGTTATGATATGTGTAGGTATGTTATGATATGTGTGTAGGTATGTTATGATATGTGTGTAGGTATGGGTTATAATGTGTGTGTAAGCATGTTATGATATGTGTGTAAGCATGTTATGATATGTGTGTTGGTATGTTATGATATGTGTGTAGGTATGTTATGATATATGTGTAGGTATGTTCTGATATATGTGTAGGTATGTTATGATATATGTGTAGGTATGTTATGATATGTGTGTAGGTGGGTTATAATGTGTGTGTAAGCATGTTATGATATGTGTGTAAGCATGTTATGATATGTGTGTAAGCATGTTATGATATGTGTGAAGGTATGTTATGATATGTGTGTAGACATGTTATGATAATTGTGCAGTCATGTTATCATATGTGTAAGCATGTTATGATTATGTGTGTGGGCATGTTATGATAAGTAGGCAGTCATGTTATGGTATGTGTAATCATTTTATGATATGTGTGAAGGTAAGTTCTGATATATGTTTAGTTATGATATTTTATGTGTGTGGTTATGTTTTGATGTGTGTGTAGCCATGTTATGTAATGATGTATGTGTAGGTATGTTTGATATGTGTAATCATGTTATGATATGTGTGTAGGTATATTATATTGTGTAGGCATGTTATGACATGTGTGTAGATATGTTATTTGTGTGTAGGTATGTTATGATATATGAAGGTATGTATGATATGTGTAAGCGTGTTATGATCTGGTGTATTTATGTTATGATATGTATGTAGGTATGTTATGATATGTTTGTAGGTATGTTATGATATGTGTGTAGGTATGTTATACTAGTAATTTGTGTGTTTATGTTATGGGATTTTTTGTGTAGGTATGTTATGGTATGTGTGTAGGAATGTTATGATATGTGTAGGTATGTTATTATATGTGTATGTATGTTATGATATGCACATAGTTATGATATGATGTATATGTTTGTATGTTATAATTTGTGTATTTATATTATGGGAATTTGTGTGTTGGTATGTTATCAGATTTTATGTGTAGGTATGGTATGTGTTTTGTATGTTGTGAGATTATTTGTGTACGTATGATTTAAGAATATGCATTTAGGTATGTTATAAGATTTTGTGTGTAGGTATGTTTTGAGAAAGCGAATGAGCAATATAGTTGTCTATAAATCTATCAAAGCATGAAAAAGCCATCGTTTTATATCATGGTCTTGTACCAATTTTTTAATCAATTTATTAAGGTGGATTTTTAACCTCTCAGGCTAAATTGATAATGGTAATGGTAGCTTACTTAATGTCACAATTTCGGGCCTGAATCCTACTAAAGGTTGTTGTAAGGAAGATACCACAGTCTTGTGGTTAATATGTTTAAACTAGATTTTTACCTTTGCTAGTATTAGGATATAGAGGAAACGCCAAGGTTATTTTACAACCAGTAAAACTTTATAATAATAATAATAATGTTCTAAAATCTTAACATGCTCATTTGTTTGAACGAGAAAAAAATTGTTGTAAATAATTTGAGCCGAGTCACGACAAAACCAACATAGTGTGTTTGCGACCAGCATTGATCCAGACCAGTCTGATCAGGATCCATGCTGTTCGCTATCAGTTTCTCTACTTGTAATAGAATTGGTAAGCGAACAGCATGGATCATGATCAGACTGCGCGGATGCGCAGGCTAGTCTGGATCCATGCTGGTCGCAAACGCACTATGTTGGTTTTGTCGTGACGCTACTCATTTTCTGTTTTGTTTTAACAGGTATAAATATAGCAGGAGTTAAATGGGTGATTCGACTTCAATTAGTACTGCTGTTTGTATTATTCCTCTCAGTGATGGACTTCTTTGTTGGTTCATTTGTACATACAGATAAAGGTAGGGTTCATTTCTACATACAGATAAAGGTAGGGTTCATTTCTACATACAGATAAAGGTAGGGTTCATATGTACATACTGATAAAGGAAGGGTTCATTTTGTACATACTGATAAAGGTAGGGTTTATTTGTACATACTGATAAAGGTAGGGTTCATCTTGTACATACTGATAAAGGTAGGGTTCATTTTGTACATACTGATAAAGGTAGGGTTTATTTGTACATACTGATAAAGGTAGGGTTCATTTTGTACATACAAATAAAGGTAGGGTTTATTTGTACATACTGATAAAGGTAGGGTTCATTTTGTACATACTGATAAAGGTAGGGTTATTTGTACATAGAGATAAAGGTAGGGTTCATTTTGTACATACTGATAAAGGTAGGGTTTATTTGCAATACTGATAAAGGTAGGGTTCATTTGTACATACTGATAAAGGTAGGGTTCATTTTGTACATACTGATGAAGGTAGGGTTTATTTGTACATACTGATAAAGGTAGGATTCATTTTGTAGATACTGATAAAGGTAGGGTTTATTTGTACACACAGATAAAGGTAGGGTTCATATGTACATACTGATAAAGGTAGGGTTCATTTCTACACACAGATAAAGGTAGGGTTCATTTGTACATACAGATAAAGGTAGGGTTCATTTCTACACACAGATAAAGGAAAGGTTCATTTGTACATACTGATAAAGGTAGGGTTGATTTGTACATACAGATAAAGGTAGGTGTCATTTGTACATACTGATAAAGGTAGGTGTCATTTGTACATACTGATAAAGGTAGGGTTTATTTGTACATACTGATAAAGTAGGGTTCATTTGTACATACCGATAAAGGAAGGGGTCATTTGTACATACTGATAAAGGTAGGGTTCATTTGTACATACCGATAAAGGAAGGGGTCATTTGTACATACTGATAAAGGTAGGGTTCATTTGTACACTCAGATAAAGGTAGGGTTCATTTGTACATACTGATAAAGGTAGGGTTCATTTGTATATACAGATAAAGGTAGGGTTCATTTGTACATACTGATAAAGGTAGGATTCATTTGTACATTCTGATAAAGGTAGGGTTCATTTGTACATACAGATAAAGGTAGGGTTCATTTGTATATACTGATTAACCTAGGGTTCATTTGTACATACTGATAAAAGTAGGGTTTATTTGTACATACTGATAAAGCTAGGGTTCATTTGTACATACTGATAAAGGTAGGGTTTATTTGTACATACTGATAAAGGTAGGGTTCATTTGTACATACTGATAAAGGTAGGGGTCATTTGTACATACAGATAAAGGTAGGGTTCATTTGTACATACCGATAAAGGAAGGGGTCATTTGTACATACTGATAAAGGTAGGGTTCATTTGTACACTCAGATAAAGGTAGGGTTCATTTGTACATACTGATAAAGGTAGGGTTCATTTGTATATACAGATAAAGGTAGGGTTCATTTTGTACATTCTGATAAAGGTAGGGTTCATTTGTAGATACAGATAAAGGTAGGGTTCATTTGTACATTCTGATAAAGGTAGGGTTCATTTGTACATACAGATAAAGGTAGGTGTCATTTGTACATACTGATAAAGGTAGGGTTCATTTGTACATACTGATAAAGGTAGGTGTCATTTGTACATACAGATAAAGGTAGGGTTCATTTGTACATACTGATAAAGGTAGGGTTCATTTGTACATACTGATAAAGGTAGGTGTCATTTGTACATACTGATAAAGGTAGGTGTCATTTGTACATACTGATAAAGGTAGGGTTCATTTGTACATTACTGATAAAGGTAGGTGTCATTTGTACATACTGATAAAGGTAGGGTTCATTTGTACATACTGATAAAGGTAGGTGTCATTTGTACATACTGATAAAGGTAGGGTTCATTTGTACATACAGATAAAGGTAGGTGTCATTTGTACATACTGATAAAGGTAGGGTTCATTTGTACATACTGATAAAGGTAGGTGTCATTTGTACATACAGATAAAGATAGGGTTCATTTGTACATTCTGATAAAGGTAGGGTTCATTTGTACATACAGATAAAGGTAGGGTTCATTTGTACACACAGATAAAGGTAGGGTTCATTTGTACATACGGAAAAAGGTAGGGTTTATTTGTACACACATGTCACGGTTCAGAACTGCTCACTATTTAGGGGAGAAGATGTGTAAGCGGCCGGATAGCTCAGTCGGTAGAGCCGCGGAACGGTATTCCGAGGGTCCCGGGTTCGAGTCCCGGTCAGGCTGCACATTTTTCTCACCCTGTGACATTTGGCGCCCAACGTGGGGCCGTGACTGCCTATAGCTCAGAGTTCAATAAGCATTGCTCTGTAGCTTTGTGAAATTCGAGGACGAATCTCAATATTGTGGTGAAGTATGTCACGGTTCAGAACTGTTCACTATTTAGGGGAGAAGATGTGTAAGCGGCCGGATAGCTCAGTCGGTAGAGCCGCGGAACGGTATTCCGAGGGTCCCGGGTTCGAGTCCCGGTCAGGCTGCACATTTTTCTCACCCTGTGACACACAGATAAAGGTAGGGTTCATTGGACACATGGATAAAGGTAGGGTTCATTTGTACATACGAATAAAGGTGGGTAGGTAGGCAAGTGGCGGCATAGTCGATTAGTGAACGTGTCACACTAGTTATCTAAGGTTCACTAGCCATGTTGGTTCAAACCCGGTCAAGTTCTGCCACTGTTGTTTCCTTGAGCAAGAAACCATCCATTCATTGCTCAGTAATTGTTGTTCTCGTGAACGGATTCGAAATTGAGTCTTTCAGTTTCAAATTAGCTTCTTAGAGATCCTTGTTTGGCTTTGTTTAAGAATTTTTTCTCTTTTGATATTTTAGTTAGCAAATGAAAAAAAATCCTTTCAACACAATGGCAAGTCAATCATAACAATAAAAACTAGTTGTTTATGAAACTTTTGTACAATCTTTCATCAGTTTAACAATAAAAAAACTTGTTCTGCATGAAATTTTAAGACAAAGAAATGATCTGTCAATTTTCAATTTATTATATATATTAACGACCACTTGCTTTTGTTTCAGACCATGGTGTAACAGGTTACAGAGAGTTCAATCTACATAACAACTCGGGTCCAGCCTATCTACCTGGGGAAACATTCTTCTCTATATTTGGTCTGTTTTTCTCTACCGTAACAGGCATTTTAGCAGGCATCAACATGAGTGGAGATTTACGGGAACCATTTGTCAATATACCACGAGGAACTTTATCTGCTCTAGGTGTATCGTGAGTATTTACTAATATCAACGACTTACAGAGAGTAACATTCAAGTGTCCGATATTACAAAGTTTATCAGGCAAGGTTAAAAAAAGGAGCCAAGCCCTTCATTTTTTTCGTGCTGAGTCTGAGAATGAGATATTGTAATCAAACTTGGTTTATAGCAAGTTTATATGAAGATCCTGGTTGGGATTGCACTTTATTTAAATAATTCTTTGTACACTTACACTTTATTGCAAAACTGGTCCGGAGCAAAACTTCTACATTTATAGAGGGATCTCAATATAACTTGGCACAAATGTTCACAATTGTGGGATGGAGTGTCTAATGCAAAATTCAGGCCCCTGCGGCCAAGGTCAAGGTCACATATAGAGGTCAAAGTTCAGATATAAGTATTAAAAGGTGTATTTAGACTATTTGGTCATCATTTATTGAGGGATTGAAGCACAAATGGTCATTATAATGACTACAGGTGTGAACCATTAATTTAGGTTAATAAATGCAAGGTAAATGTCACTAAAGATGATAAAATATTGAGATTTTGTCCAGAGCATATCTTGCATGGAGTGATTTTAATGAAATTTTATAGAAATGTTCAAACTATGAGAAGCAGTGTCATGCACATGAACCAGGTCTCTAGGTTAAAGGTCAAGGTCACACTAAAAGGTCATTAAAATGCATGTCCAGAGCAAAACTTCTACAGGCATTGAGGGAGTTCAATATAACTTGGCACAAATGTTCACCATTGTGAGGCAGAATGTTGTCCTGTGGCCATGTCAATGTTACATATAGGGGTCAAAGTTCAGATAAAAATATGAAAAGGTGTATTTAGACTATTTTGTCATCATTTATTGAGGGATTGAAACACAAATGGTCATTATTATGACTACAGACGAGAATCATGTACTAGTAATTTAGGTTAATAAATGCAGGGTAAATGTCACTAAAGATGATAAAATATAGAGATTTTGTGCAGAGCGTATCTCCTACAAGCATGGAAGTATTCTAATGAAACTTCATAGAAATGTTCACAACTATAAGAAGCATTGTCATGCGTATGAATCAAGTTTTTAGGTTAAAGGTCAAGGTCACACTTAGAGGTCATTAAAAAACGCTTGTCCAGAACAAAACTACATTTATATCAGGGTATTTTAATGTAACTTTGCACAAATGTTCAACAATTTGAGGCAAAGTATTGGGCACATAATCCAGGTTCCTGCAACAAAAGTCAGGGTAACATAGAGAGGCCAAAGTTGAGATAAAAACAGTAGATGTGAACAGGAACCATTTAGTGATCATTTATTGATAATTTGTAACACAAATGATAACTATCATGACTACAAGTGTGACACATGTCAATTTAGGTTAATCTTTGCACGGTCAAGGTCACTAGAGATGAAAAAATATCCAGATATTGTCCTGATATTGCCCATAGCATATCTCCTAAATGCATATCTATAATGCCCACATCTCTGTCAAAAGCTTTTGTGATGGGCATATTTTGTGACAAAGTTACCCTAATTATCTAATCTTAAGCATATGATATATTTGGGAATGACCCTCAAAGTGGCCGCTCGGGGAGGTAATTATTTCTATGTGAAAAGCATCTATACTGTACATTTTGTTTTCAGAACATTTCTGTATATAGGATTTACGTTGGTGATTGGAGCCACATGTTTGCGAGAGAACTTGCATAAAGACTACATGATATCTGAAAAGGTTTGTACATTCTTTATATTCCATCAGACCAAGTTTTGTGCATTGTTTATATTCCATCATACCAAGATTTGCGCATTCTTTATATTCCATCACACCAAAATTTGTGCATTCTTTATATTCCATCAAACTAAAGTTTGTGCATTCTTTATATTCCATCAGACCAAAGTTTGTGCATTCTTTATATTCCATCAGACCAAAGTTTGTGCATTCTTTATATTCCATTAGACCAAAGTTTGTGCATTCTTTATATTCCATCAGACCAAAGCTTGTGCATTCTTTATTTTCCATCAGACCAAGGATTTTGCATTCTTAATGTTCCATCAGAACAAGGTTTGTGCATTCTTTTTATTCCATCAGACCAAATATTGTGCATTCTTTATATTCAATCAGACCAAATATTGTGTATTCTTTATATTCCATCAGATCAAGGTTTGTGCATTCTTGATATTCCATCAAACCAAAGTTTGTGCATTGTTTATATTTCATCAGACCAAAGTTTGTGCATTCTTTATATTCCATCAGACCAAGGTTTGTTCATTCTTTATATTCAATCAGACTAAAGTTTGTGCATTCTTTATATTCCATCAGACCAAAGTTTGTGCACTCTTTATATTCCATCAGACCAAGGTTTGTGTATTCTTTATATTCCATCAGCATTCTTTATATTCCATCAGACCAAAGTTTGTGCATTCTTCATATTCCATCAGACCAAAGTTTGTGTATTCTTTATATTCCATCAGACCAAAGTTTGTTCATTCTTTATATTCCATCAGAACAAGGTTTGTGCATTCTTTATATTCCATCAGACCAATGTTTGTGCATTCTTTATTTCCATCAGACCAAAGTTTGTGCACTCTTTATATTCCATCAGACCAAGGTTTGTGCATTCTTTATATTCCATCAGACCAAGGGTTTGTGTATTCTTTATATTCCATCAGCATTCTTTATATTCCATCAGACCAAAGTTTGTGCATTCTTCATATTCCATCAGACCAAAGTTTGTGCATTCTTTATATTCCATCAGACCAAAGTTTGTGCATTCTTTATATTCCATCAGAACAAGGTTTGTGCATTCTTTATATTCCATCAGACCAATGTTTGTGCATTCTTTATATTCCATCAGAACAAGGTTTGTGCATTCTTTATATTCCATCAGACCAAAGTTTGTGCATTCTTTATATTCCATCAGAACAAGGTTTGTGCATTCTTTATATTCCATCAGACCAATGTTTGTGCATTCTTTATATTCCATTAGAACAAGGTTTGTGCATTCTTTATATTCCATCGGACCAAGGTTTGTGCATTCTTTATATTCCATCAGACCAATGTTTGTGCATTCTTTATATTCCATCAGACCAAGGTTTGTGCATTCTTTATATTCCATCAGACAAAGTTTTGTGCATTCTTTATATTCTATTAGATCAAGATTTATGCATTCTTTATATTCCATCAGACCAAGGTTTGTGCATTCTTTATATTCCATCAGACAAAAGTTTGTGCATTCTTTATACTCCATCAAACCAAAGTTTGTGCATTCTTTGTATTCCATCAGACCAAGGTTTGTGCATTCTTTATATTCCTTCTGACCAAGGTTTGTGCATTCTTTATATTCCATCAGACCAAGGTTTGTGCATTCTTTATATTCCATCAGACCAAAGTTTGTGCATTCTTTTTAATCTAGCTAATGTTTGTATTATTGTTATTTTTCAGATCTCCATTGTTGGTTTCTTGTGGCTGGCTGGCTTGTATATATCATCTGTATCGGCTTGTATGGGAAGTTTGTATGGCCCACCGAGAATACTTCAAACCATAGCTAATGAAAATGTTATACCAATTATTAGAGTACTTGGACATGGTGTAAGTAGTGCAGAAACTTTGTTACATTTAATTTGTCCTTTCTGAAATTATTTTCAATGAGTCATGTGAACACAAGAATGATTACCATTATCAGCTTTTTGACATAATCAGTTAAATAGAGGATATTTGTTTGTTTTGCATGTAAGATTGAAATATAATTTCACTGAGTGAACACCAGATGCAATATTTTCACGAGTGGCGTAGCCACGAGTGAAAATATATTATCTGGTGTTCACGAATGAAATATATTTAAATCTTACATGTAAAAGAAATAAATTTTCTTTTTATTTCATGCTTTTTAAGTGATTTTAAGTATTTTTTTACTGATTTTGCCGCGTAACGTCGCGCATTCTCCTTTGTGACGTCATCACATCATGACGTCACATCATCAATTTTGAAATATAGTTCTGTTAAATTTCTCTAATTTTGTTACATGTTTAACATGATGTATGGTGACATCGACTTGTTTTTCCTAAAGAAGCAAATTTTACCTATGACGGCATTTTTTTCTGCCTGTTATTCCATTTAGTTTAATTTTCTTTTCATCCGCATTCAGATATAGTCCGGCTACAGTGAAAATTATACAGTCGACTCTCGTTATCTCGAAGTCATCGGGACCGTCCAAAAAATATCGAGATAACGAAATGTCGAGATAAACATATTAGGGTTTGAATAAGGCAGAAACTTATTTTTACAAAACACATGTGCATACCTTATGTCAAATAAACTTTGATATCCCTATGTTTTGTTTTCATAGGCCTAGACAATATTTAACAAAGTAACATTAGCAGATGTTTACCAGCGGAAATACAGGTGTCTGTGATAAAAACACATAGTGAGGTTTACTCAGTAATACGCCAATATAATGAAAAACATTGTTTTCAGAGTGGTTGATCCAGATATCCTCCCGAGTTAGTTGTCGGGCCCTTCTCGGATTGTTCGACCGCTGATTGATTTGGTGATGATGTTAGGAAACAATATTGCAACAATAGCGTTTCTATACTTTCACTTATTCATTTACATTTAAAGTCATAATGAATTGATACAGTGTTCGAATATTTATAAAGAACGTAAAATTCACTCATTTTGTACATAAGTCAATCAACACGCTAAATAAATTAACTTTTATAAAAGCTGCTAAACCTGTTATAAACATAATCATCATTATGACAAGCACTATTGAGCAATTATCGTCTAGTTTGGGTTTTTCACACGTCTGAAGGAAAACTATTAGTCGAGATAAACAAAGGATAATAGTGTGAAAATAACTGTTGGGGCTGAAATTTTACATCGAGATACTGAAAATATCGAAATAAAAATATCGAGATAAACAAATACTTTCAATATAGATAAAGAAGGAAGAAAATCGGGACTTTCAAAATTTCATCGAGATAACGAAATATCGAGAAAAGCGATGTCGAGATAACGATAGTTGACTGTATTTTATAAATTTCACTAGTGGTTTATCAGAATATAATCATCTGATATATTACAATAAAACACTGGAAAACATGAAATAAAGGCCTATTATGCCTCAGATATACTTTTATTTTTATGCCCCCCCCCAAAGGGAGGCATATTAAAATTGTACCGTTTGTCTGTTTGTCTCTTCGTCCGTATGGCGTCCCCACTTCATTCATGTCCGAATTCTAATTTTGTCATACATGGAGGGCTTTTGAAATAACTTGGCCCAAATGTCTACCACATCAAGCCAATGTGTCCCGTTCAAGAACCTTGTCCCTACCTAAGAGGTCAAGGTCACACTATTATTTTGAATTTTCACATTATCACAATTAGAGTAAATAGGTACACACATTCCTGTCTGGACGGTTACTTTGACATGCATCTAATGATTTTAAAATAATTAGGCATAAATGTCTAGCACATCAAGACAATGTGTCGTATCCAAGAATTATGTCCCTACCTCAAAGGTCAAGGTCTCACTAACATTTTGAGGTTTCACTTTATCACAAAAAGAGTTTATAGGTATAAACATTTGTGTCCCGCCTGCAACTTTGTCATGCATGGAAGGATTTTAAATTAAATTGGCATAAATGTCTACCACTTCAGACAATGTGTCGCATCCAATAATCGCGTCCCTTCCTCAAAAGTCAAGGTCACACTACCTTTATGAAGTTCACTTTATCATGAGTATAGTTTATAGGTACACACATTCATGTCTGGACAGTAACTTTGTCATGCATCGAAGGATTTCGAAATAATTAGGCATAAATGTTTACCAGATCATGATGACATGTCGCTTCCAAGATCCATGTTCCTACCTTCAAGGTCATGGTCACATTTAAAGTTTGAAGGTACTCACTTTCTTTAGAAGAGTTTGAAGATACACATTCATGTCTGGATGTAATTTTGTCATGCATGGAAGGATGTTAAAATAACTTGGCAGAAATGTCTAACACATCAAGACGATGTGTCGCTGCTAAGGCTCATGTCAGTGTGTCCCCACTTACACAACAATCATGTCCAGATGGTAACTTTTTCATGCGTTGAGGGATTTTGAAATAACTTGGCAAAAATGTATATCTCATGACAACATTCTGTTGCGTCCAAAAACCACGTCCCTTCTTCAAAGGTCAAGGTCACACTTATATTTTGAAGGTTCACGTTATCACAATTATAGATTATAGTTTCACACATTCATGTCTGGACTATAACTTTGTCATGCATTGAAGAGTTTAAAAATTAATAATGCACAAATATCTACCACATTAAGATGAAGTGTTGTGTGTAAGACCCATGTTCCTACCTCCAAGGTCAAGGTCACTCTAATAGTTTGAAGGTTCTTACGCTAGTAAGAAGGGTTTGAAGGTACACATTAGTTTCCAAACTGTAACATTGTCATGCATTGAAGGATTTTATAATAACTTGGCATAAATGCCTACCACATCAAGATGATGTGTTGCAGCCAAGACCCTTGTCCCAAGGTGTTAAGTTTGCTGTAAATAGCACTTCATTTCACAAGAACAATATTTAGCAATTAGTTACTTTCATTCTCTTATATACTGTATCTGTTCTGACGGAAAAGTTGCAATTCCCAATTAAACTAAATTTCCTTTTTTCCCCTTTTCAGCGTGGACCAAACAAAGTCCCTATATATTCTCTAGTGCTAATTACCCTAGTTGTTCTATTGTTTGTTCTGGTCGGAGATGTGAACACTTTAGCTCCTATAGTAACCACAGCATTCATGATGTCATACGCTGCTGTGAATTACTCTTATTTTGCTCTTGCCATGAGTTACGATCATAGGCAAGCACGCGATCTACGATTTGGTGTTCAGGATAAATCACGAAGAAAAAGCACTGACATTATGGGTATGGAGCGACAAGTGTGTCTGAAAAATCATATAAAGACTCTTTTCAGACTATACGTACTGATTTAGATAAACTATTTCCAGAGAGGTTGACACATAGAGGTCAACATCATTTAATTCACCAACAGGGCAAAGAATCTCACAGTCAGATGTCACCATCAGAGCCTGATTTTGATGCCACACAAAGGTCAAAATCTCTAGATAATGTTTCTGAGGTCAGTGATTCGTCACAAGTGTTGCTTTGTAAGGAAGGAGGTATGTCATTGTTGTTTTTTACCCGTTTATATTTTTTTATTTATGCAAAATAATATGATATGAACAGTTTTAGAATGTCAAAGTAGAAACAAATGAACTGGCTAATGACTAACTTTATTTGGAATATGTACAGGGAAACAATTCATTAGGTAGTTGTTAAAGCTCTAATAAACAAAGAAGAGTTTTTAAAGTCTCCTTTAAAAAACAAAAAAAAAGAGTTGTTAAAACAAATATGTTGCAATTAACTTGAACAGACGTGAATATTCAAATATTAAATACACCATTAAAATGTCATCATTGAATATTTTTATCTTATACTTTTCAGTGGATTACTGATTTATCCGTGAAAATCATATTTGATAATTTCACAGTGAAAATTATCAAAATATATTTCCACACTTTTCAATGACGAAACTACTTTTTTAAGATTTTCCCCATGTGGTACCTCAATTTTATTTTTGCTGACAATTCTGACAATGTCAGGCTGTTTAAAGATTAAGCAAAGCTGAAATTGATAAATAACTTAAATGTCAAAAGTAATAAAAAGAAGAAAACTTACTTCTATTCATTCAAATTCCAATCACCAAATTTCGTCTCTAAATTTTTTGGTTTCATTTTTACAGTCTGAAAAATACATTCCTTCCACATGCAAAACCGCTCTTGATGACATTTGGGAATATTAAAGTATCCTACGAGCAATAACTGCCGTATGCTTTATGAAAACTTGATAAGAAATGACAGCCATCAGCCCGAAGAATAAGTAAACAATCTAGCGTGCGTAAGGCAGCCTTTCAGCAATGCAAAGTTTTCAAATTTCCTTGCCGCTTTTTGAATGTTTACACCTCTGTCAACACTAATTTATTGTCTGTTACAATCCTGAAATAAGTTTTCTTTCTTTTTAAAAGGATCATTACTAACAAATCCAAATGATATCCCTCTGAATCAAACACAATTATTTTCCTCCCGTGAAATACACAACATTTAAAAATGGCGACCGCTTACATTTAACAGAGCCAGGTCTAATTTAAATTCGCTTTGTTGTGTAAGATGTAATTTTATTTCATCTCGTGAACTTTAAAAACAGTATTCTCACTCATGACTACGCCACTCGTGAGAATACTGTTTTTAAAGCCCACTCAATAAAATAAAATTTCATCTTACACACAAACAAACAAATATCCTCTATATTATTTGCAATTGGTCAAACAAAAATGGTTCTACACAGCCACACAAGTGGTTCTACGTAACTGCTCAGTGGTTGTTCTAAGATTGACTAGATGTTCTATTCAGCTGCCAAGCAGTTCTACTCAGCTGCTAAGAGCTTTAATTGATAAAGTGCAAAGGAGATCAAATGAGATCGATATGTCAATATCGGATGTCAAATATCAGCGATACATCGATATGTCAATAATTACATATAATTACGTGTCTGACATTCATTTCATACCTGCTTAAATGATTTTTATAAAAACTGAGTTCAGTGTCTTTTTTTAATGACCATTGCATTATTTTTCCCTGACCATTTATTTGTCATCATTTCTATGAAATAGTTTCATTATGTAACAACAGCATAGTTTTAGATCTGGACACCTGCTTCTGTATATGTTTTAGGTGAACTTGGGTGGTTCCAATATTCCTACTTGAATAATGTTAAATCACCCTTAGGATATGTTGCCTGCTTTTTAAATTTGTCTTTTGACGTCTTATCTATGATACGCAGGCTTCATAACCTCTGATCCCCTTTCAAAATTCCATTTTATTTAGTTCCGCCCATTGTTTTCTCGTTTAGGGCACACGCTTTTTATTACTTGGGGGACCATACGCCGCTTTTCATGGAATGGCACTAACGTGACACAGTGAAGGTTCCATGATAACCGCCGTATGAACACATCTGCGGATGTTTCTAAATTCAAAATTTTACTATTTCATGTTTAAATGTTGAATTCTGCTTAAGCCGGTGCTAGGGGGCGTGGACGGTAACTTGCTTTTTCCAGTACCGTCCATGAACAGGCTCAATCAAACCGAGCCTGCAACATTTTCTATTTTGCCGTGTTGGGCTTTCTTTAGGGATTCTGTATTTATCTATTTTCTTAATTTCTATACATTTAATTAATTAGTCAAAATTGTTGATTGTTTATAGATGTGTATCGATTATTGATTGACAGAAAAATATCAACAATACATCAATATTGTTTCTATTGATGACAGCTCTAGTTCTTCTCAGCTGCCAAAAAGTTTAACTCAGCTTGTAAAATCACATTATTGCGAGCCTCTGACGAGCATTATATTGTTTAATTCAACAAGTTTCATAAATTTAGTATCGAATCTACATGAATATAATATTCTATTTATCACATATATAAAATAAGAACGATAAACTGTTAAAATTAAAAAGTTATATTTCATTAGTTTACAGTAAATAGTTTTATTTGTGTTTAGATCCAAGACAACCACCTAATATTGCGAAAATCAACAAGCAACCCAGGTTAGTGGTACTTCATTCTTAATGTTTGTAACAGATGGCTTGGTCATTATTTTGGAGTGTATGTTTATATACATGTATGAAATTTTGTTGTTGTGATCTCCATTTTTTACACCACAACAGGCAGCAGGATAAGAGTGGTTCATGACAGGTTACCTCACTATTTCTGCTACACAACCTCCTTTGTCAGGATAGGAAAATAATATTGTCCTGTACAATGTTCCAGTCCACTCGAATTCCATTCTGACTATTCTTGACCATAATATGTGCAGACCCTTGATTGACTTTGTCATAGACACTTTTAGGGACTCAACCCACAATGAAGGACTGAACTTATTTTCTCCATTTTTTGAGATTTATATGTGCCATTTGATGTTGGTCTGGACCAATAACTTTTGTTGTGAAAAATGACCCAATAATGAAAAATATTTTAATGCTAACTAAAAGCAGACTATGAATTGCGCAAATATAGAATTTTCAATTTATTTGTGAGTATGTATCATTATCTGTTGAATATTTTTTTCTGTTGTAAGTACCAGTTTATTTCAGACATTGTTCTTTCTGTCAAAAAATATCACATTAACCAGGTCCATTTGACCTCAGTAAATATCACATTAATAAGGGCCATTTGGTCTCAGTAAATATCACATTAACCAGAACCATTTGGTCTCAGTGAATATCACATTAACAAGGGTCATTTGGTCTCAAGTAAATATCACAATTAATAAGGGCCATTTTCGGTCTCTGGTCAGTTAACAAGTGGTCATTGCCCTCAAAGTAAATATCACATTGACAAGGGCCATTTTGCCCTCATGTAAAAGCAGTCCACATTACAAGGGCCCCATTTGACCTCAGTAAATATATCACATTAACAAGGCCATTTGTCCAGTAAAGTATCACATTAAATAAGGGGCCATTTAGGTCTCAGTAAGTATCAATTAAACGGCTCAAATTTGGTTCTAGAAGTAAATATTACATTAACAAGGGCACATTGGACTCTCAGTAAATTATCACAAATAAGGGTTCATTTGATTCTCATAAAATATCACATTAATAAGGGCCATTTTGGTCTCAGAGTAAAATATCACATTATACCAGGGCCATTTGGTCTCAGTAAAATATCACATTAATAAGGGCCATTTGGTCTCAGTAAATATCACATTTACAAGGGGCCATTTGACGTCAGTAAATGGTAATAATCACATTAACAAGGGCCATTGGGTCTCTAGTTAAATATCACATTTATAAGCGGCCATTTGGTCTCAGTAAATATCACATTAACAAAGCGGCCATTTGCGCCCTCAGTAAAGCGTCACATTTAACAACGCCATTTTTGACCTCCAGCTAAAAATATCACATTAATAAGGGTCATTTGGTCTCATAAAATATCACATTAATAAGGGCCATTTGGTCTCAGTAAATATCACATTAACCAAGGCCATTTGGTCTCAGTAAGTATCACATTAATACGGGCCATTTGGGTCTCATGTAAATATCACGGAAATTAACAAAGCCGCGCCAATTTTGGTTTCAGTTAAATATCACATAAAGATAAGCGGCCATTTCGGTCTCAGAAATATCACTAATTAACCAGTGCGCCATTGTCGCGTCTCAGCTAACCCAAATATACATTAATAAGGGCATTTGCCTTAGTAAATGACACATTAATCAGCGTCCCATTTGGCCTAAAGTAAAATCATACATTTAACAAGGGCCATTTGCCCTTTGCGTGAAAAGCACAATTTAACCCAGGTTTGTTTGACTTTGATAATTCACTTCATTATCATTCAATAATGTTTTTTTTTTTTTATTCATAGATATTTGGCTGTGTGTTGAAATGTCTTAAACATTGTTTTTTAGACTTATATGAAACAGGTTCATGTTGTGATAAATGTGTTTATTTTGTGTTCCAGACATTTGGTTTTGTGTTGTGGCGGTGTATAATGTTTGGAACACAGTGGATTTATGCTCTTATAGAAAGTCATTTGCTTGCCCATAGGTGTCTACATCTTTTACAAAAGGCCAGGCTAACCCTGGCTACTTTTCCGGGTAAATCTTCATGTTTTCAAGCTAACCTGGCTAATTCTAGGTAAATCTTCATGTTTTTCAATGCTAACCCCTGGTATTTTCAAGGTAATCTTCATGTTTTTAAGCTAACCCAAGCTACTTTCAGGGTAAATCTTCATGATTTTCAAGCTAACCTATGGGGCTTACTTTCAGGGTAAACCTTCATGTTTTCAAGCTAACCGGCCCTGGGTAACTTTCAGTGGAATCTTCATGTTTTTAAGCTAACCTGGCTAATTTTCAAGGTAAATCTTATGTTTTTTTTTAA